GATCTTTCATTCTAATTGCACACTTTTGCGATTTCTTGATTATTAATCTATATACATTAACACTATAAATATTTCAATAATATAATTTTGCTTCCCACTTTTAAATACCCGTCTACTGTTATTCTATTCTTTATTACTAGTATGATTAAATATAACCCAATTTATTACTATTTCCCTATTACTACAACTGCTACGTTATTGAAATAATTTATTTACTACTATTTAAGATGTTTTTAAGATTTTACGAATTACTACCTTTTTATGACTGCTAATTTATTTTTAATTTTTTAATTCTTCATTGCTCTGCTTCAATTCTAGTCAATCTTTCTAATTCTAACTTTTCAATAACTACTACTTCAGTTTTATATCGATTTCTATTCAGCTTTCACTACTTGTATTCTATTGTCCCATCTTAATTACTTTTTCTAGGATTCTTTCGAATTGTACTGTAAAATATGTTCATTTCTAAACAAAATATCTACAAATTGTTATTATTGTACATAGCATGTAATTGTTCCATATTTTACAACCATTTATTTCCACAAATTTATTTATAAAAATAAAAAACCTTTATAATATATTATACTAATTATATATCTTTTCTTACTTTAGAATTGATACCACGACCAGCTCGTGCTTGTCCAGACCCACCTTTGTATTTACGCTTACGCATGGGTAAACCCATTGGCAAAGCAATACCGCTACCGACATCTGTTATGTCGTACGGCAAAAATAAGTTGAGACCTGAATATTGGTTCAGTGTGCCTAAAAATCGGTGAGTAACCTTTATTCTGTAAAACGTTTGTATTAAATAAAAAATTAGATTTAAAAATTATTTTTATTTTTATAATTTATTTACGGAACAGTCTGTATGTATTTATTAATTCTGTTTTATGTATTTAATCTTACTCTGTTAACTTTTAATTTTATAAATAAATGAAATGAACTGTATTGTTATGAAATAATAATTTATATAATATATATCTTTATAAAGAATGTATTTTTAAAGTTTATATAATAAATACTTTTATTTTTTTAATTTTTGAATAATATTAAATAAATAAAACACTTGTTTTAATTCTTAATTCCTAGCACTGGGGATGATCTGCGAAGTATATTTTACGAATATTTGTATTAATATAATAAATGTTTTATTTATTTCATATTATATGAAATTAGAAAAATAAAATAAATATATAAACATTTTTTAAAACATCCTAAAACCCGACAAAACAAATATATATAAACTATTTAGGTCGATATCAATATTTACACTGTTATTTTATAATGTATTTTTTATATTTAATTTTATTCCGAATATATTTTAATTTTGTTGTTTTTTTATTGTGTTACTCGTAAAAAATATGTATTTATGTGTTCAACAAAATTATTTAAATTAAACCTTTTTATGTGTTTATTCGAAAACACTTTAAAAAATCTTTAATAAAAATTATTAATAAAAGATTATTGGGAAAGTAATTTCGTTTTTTACAAACAGAGGTTTTAATTGTATTTTGTACTGCCAGAAAGGTAGTAAAAGGTATTGGACTTGAATAGGCAATAATTAAATAAAATAATTATTCGCTATAAGAAAATCATATTTTATTTCCAGATAAAAAACAAACGAAATAAATTTTCGATTTATATTTTTCTATTATATATAATATGTTATATATATATATAAATAATATAATATATTAACATATATGTATAAATAATATAGTATATTTAATATATAATATATTCTTTCTTAGTATTTTATATATTTATATTTTTACTATATTTTTATTATCAATAATTTATATTTTCCTTTTAATGTATTGTATATTTTTATATAACTATTAAAAATTCTCAAGCAATTGTTTGCAATATAAACGTATTTTAATTTTAATATATTAATTGAAAAATTTAGTTTAGCATTATTTTAACAATAATTTTTATTTATTTCTTGGTTTAATTTTGCTTAAAATAATAATACAAATTTTTTAAAAATATTATTTTCTCTCCTTTTCTGCAGTGTTGATGAATTATATCGCTTTATAAAAACTTGGGTCCCACATCTTTATGGTGAATTAAATGAAGAGCAAATCAAGGAACGTGGTTTCGAACTAATACAGGATGACACCGAATGGACAAAGAGTGGCACCAGAAAAACTGGACAGCGTGGTAGTCAAGATGGTGAAGAAATTAGTGATTTAACACGTGAATCCTGGGAGGTAAGTTCATTTTGTATTTTTTATTATCTTTTTTAAAAACTATTTTCTGCTATTGTTGCATTTTAAATTTGGTTTACGGCGATTTTCTAATTCTTTACTAAAAATGAAGTTTTTTCATTTATTTAATATTTCTAAATGATAAATTAAGTCTGGTTTTTCTATTTTGAAATTTAGGTTACAAATTGTATTGTACTTATTTCTATAGCTAAATATTATTAAAAAATAATTAACGTATTTTCTATATTTAAATTTTTTAAATTTTCTGAAACATTTTTTGATTTAAATTTCTTTGTTTTTTTTCCATATATTCTTAAATGCAACCAAATTCTATTACCGTTCCATTAAAAAAAAAATTAATTAACAAAAAAAACATTGAAATATATTTTAATACTTAACGTTTATCGTATCTATCGTATATCGTAACGTATCGTATCGTAACAATTGATCAGCTTATAAAGGCGCCCTTCGCCAAGACATACAACATAATTAAAACGGCATCGCATGCCGCATCGCATGATTTGGATTTGTTGGGCGGCGAGGTTAGGAATAACAAAATTTTTAAATTTAAAAGAAACTAAAATTATTTACAAAAACAAAATGAAAATGTTGAATTAATTTGTTTTTAATTTTATTTTCTTTTTATTATAAATATTAGCTCGCAATTGAATATATTATTATTTTCTTTTGTAGTAGTTCAATTTATATATATTTTCCAAATAATCACAATGATAATGTTGATGTATTTAACAGAAATTACTAGAGTGAAAAATGATTTTCTGTTACAAATATTTCATTATCAATCGAAAATTAATTAATTATTATTTTTCGTTTTTAATGTTAAGAGCACCTTTATTTCTTTGTTGAAAATTCGATTGTTTAAAAAGTCACCCTGTATTTTTGTACTGTAGCTAAGCGCACCAATTAGACATAAAAAAAAATATTCTAAATTAAAATGTATTTTTATTTTCAAATATTTTTAAAAATTTCACTTGCCACTTTTTTCGAATATTGTTGTGTACTCGTAAAATTGTTCCATAAAAAAAATTTACTCACCCTATATATATTTTTTAAATTTTTTAATTATAATTTTTAAATCATTCAACATTTTTCATTACTATATAATTGTTTATTCTGCATCAGTCATAAACAATTTATTAACATTTAATCAAATTTCATTGGTTCAAAAATAAAACAATCTGTAAAATAAAAATAAACTTCTTATTGCGATATATAAATTATCGTTATTGTAAATTATATACAAAATACGTAAACGAAAAGATTCACTCTTTACAACAAAAGTTTTGAAACGTGTTGTACTTAAAATTTCCAAGGTCCAATAAATTTATGTTTAAAGGTGCGCGTATTAACGATAAATGGCTTTAAAAATATGTATTAGAAATCTGAAGAATGTTCTTAGTAATATATAGTTTCAATATTACATACTTAAGTATTGGTTCAAAATTGTAATAAAACTGAGTAAAACGGAGGTGTATATATTTATTATGACTCGAGCTATGGAGTATTGGGACACAACTTGCTATTGATTTGACACCTTAGAAGTTCTTGGGATCTAACAGTTATTAAAAAATAGGAGCAAAGATTAGAGATAATATTGGAAAAAAAATTTTTCTTAAACAAGAAAGCTTCATTGCTGGAAAATGGAGCGCTCACATATTTGATTATTTTTTAATGAAAAAAATGGTATTATGATAGGGCATTAAGATATGGTTAAATTAATAGCCATATCCTAATTTGAAACTAAATTTATTAGTCTAGGTTTATTAAGTAAACCTAGAAACTAAACTAAGTCTTATTAATTGTTTGATTCAAGGGGGATTGTTTGTTTAATATTCTTTTACTAAAAATCAATTTGTCTTTCAAATTTTTCAAATTTTCTTTTTTTTTATTTAAATAAAATTAGTAGTAATAAATTAAAGATTACAGAAATCTTGTTATTAACACAAAAAGAAATTATAAAACTACAAAAACAATAAAAACAAAAACAACAAAATATTATATTCAATATTATATTATATTGAAATATTATATTTTAATATTATTTATATTATGTTTGATAAATTTACAATTTTTGATTTTAACCAGAAAGTATTTTTAATAGTTGAATAAATTACTTTAATTAATAAATCAGATTAAGAATTTTCTTTGTCTAACAATGTTTTACAATTTGCGGAACATTTATTGAATACTAATCTTGTGAATATCGTGAACCGTTTTTCAACTCGTATAATAAGTCCATAGAATGATTTTCTTATTATTTTCAAAACAATCCCCAACCAAAGTTAATGCACTCAAATTGTAAATGTTCTAAATACTATATCTAAAATATTATATCAAATTTTTATTAAAAATTTTTAACGTCACTTATGACAAAAGAAACTATTTTCTTAATATAAACAATAGTTTACTATTGTTTTCAATAGAGCTGTTTCCGAACAATAGTAAGTTGCAACAACAAAATTTTATTATTTTTCATCAATTTTTTTGACAGTTGTTTCGAGTATTGCCAAATTTTTTATTATATACAGAAAATTTAATGTATTTTTTGTGAATATTCCTGAGCTGATTTCTTGATCCAAAAAAAATTAAGGAAACTGTGTGCAAAGAAGAAAATACCTCCATATTTTATATGATAGATAGACGAACTAAGATAGACGGTATCAAATAGCAAAAATAGCAAAAAATATTCACAAGAGAATGTATTTTATTTGTTTCTTAAAAAAAAATATTTAGTTAGCTGTTCGGGGTTAGCATAGAGAAAATATCCTACATCATAATTCACTCTAATAAATTGAATCCTATATATTACATTAAATATAAAACTGAATGTAGTATGTATAAAAAGAAAAACTTCAGCATCAGTAATATGATTATAGATTAATCATATATATAAACTGATGTTTCTGATAAAATTTTTTATGCGAAAAACTATTGTACTATTTTCTACGTATTTAGAGTCCCAGTAGTTATTATTGCACTATCAATTTATTTTAAAGGTGGAGTTATGCTTTTGATTTTATAATAGCCACCATTTCTTGTGGTGCTTATATATAAAATATTTATCCTCAACTACTATTAATACCTTTCACTTTTTTAAAGTTGTTAATCTTTTATGATTACAAAAATTACAACGCGATCTAATATCTACATTTTACGGTTAAACGTTTATAAACTAATTATTAATTCTTCATTTGAACAATATTCAATATTTACCAGCAACTATTAAAGCTGTTCTTGTTATGATTATTTATAAAAAAAATTAAATAAATAGTTTCTAATTGCTAGTTTCTTGTACAAATTTGTACGAAGTAGAAGCATTGAATGCATTAATTATCATATCATATCATTCTTTGAAATTGATTTAAGAATTAATTCTATATAGAAGTAGTAATTGTTAATATAATTCTATCCTTATTAAATTCAGCTTACTATAAAAATTTACAAACTTGATATATGTATATTCAACTTACTAAGTTTTTGATTTCATTCAATAAATTATATAAAATTAAAATCTATTACATCTTGCAAATATCCAAGAAAATGACTTTATTGAAGAGGTAGTAATAATGATTTGAGGCACAAGTAAGTCGCAACTATCTGGAGTGAATGAAAGCTTGAAGTTCATTCATTCATTCATTTTCGAGCAGCTAAATGTTAGCCTCTCTGAACAGACCAGTAGTTTCACATATCTTCACAGAAAATAATAGAAAGGGATAAAATCTACGTTCGTGGAGGCCAATTTATAGTTTCATTACATAAAATTATGCATTCATCAAATGATTTATGCAATAACCTGTTATGCCAAACCTGTTTTCTTATTATATTCGAAAAGTATATTTATTTATCATGGACCTGTACTCTATTTATAGGGAAAATCTGTGGAAAAATATGTTGATCCATATGGCGCTTGGCGCATTCGAAAGGCAATTCTTGTTGAAATGACAAATATAAATCAACTGTTAATTGTTAAAAAAAAATATACAATAAGTTAATACCTAATTAAAGTCTCCATGTGTCACATTTGAATCATTAATTAACAGTTTTTATGACTTTAAACCGACTCATGCTCAACAATCCTATTGTTACAAAATACAATAAAGAACTTATAAAATTCTTGCTTCTGTAAATATTAATATCTCATAAGACATTTTCTTTTATTTCAATATGATGAATAAATATTTAAAAATTAACAGTTCACAAATGTAACTGTTCAATTTGTATTTAACACACCATCTTAAAAAATATTTATTGTTCAATGTTAAACATTCAATTAATATACTAATTATTATATTTATAACTAAATTACTGAATTCCTTTCTGCTTTCTTTATAAATATTACGTTTTTTATCTTTGTAGCTATTACATTTTAAACGCAATTGCATGTATCTGCTGTCATATCACAGCAGTACTACAAAGATACAAATATTTGCACCTAATTAATTTCCAGAACACGAAACAATAACATGGCTTGCCTATATCGTTTGCATAGACTTTGCGATAAGTCACAACTGCAACTTCTTTTATGGCAAAAAAATATTAAAAAGTTTATTGGTGCAATACAATTTCATATTTGTACTCATAGATGTGACAAGCGTTTTTGTCATGCATAATGTATTTATAATATAGATTTATATGCTAATATAAATTTAATTATAGTTTACTATATATTATAAGAATTCACGTTTTTATTGTCGATTTATTTAAAACTATTATACTAACATATATAAAATATCAATAAAAATTGATTCAAACTGAAGCAAAACCTTCGGATCGAGTGGTTTATTATTGGTTGTCATTTTTAAAAATTTAATAACATGGTTTCTAAGACTTATAAGTGTATATCTATAAAAAATGTAAAAGGAATCAAAACAAATTATAAAATATTTAATATACGAAACTAATAAAAAAGAAACAATTACTTTATAGATTTGAACTTACCGTACACATTAATTCTAAATATTTTTATAATGAATATAGTAGTTGAATGTAACTCACCTAGTAACGACAACTTTTTCCCCACATCTACACTCCCTAAATTTTGGCTAGATTTTTACCTATAGTCTCACTTTTACACTTTCCCACATACAAATTTACCTTTGTAGACAAAATTTAAATATGTGTTTTCATTCAAACATAAAAATCTTCTAAAAGATTTTAGACTTTTTCTAAATGTCTAACCAGTGTAGTAACTGAGTCTAGATACTGGTGCTTGAAAGTGTTTGAAAGGTTGTATACTCGAATTCGAACTTTGTATCGAACACTTTGAATATTCGAAAGGGATCAAATCTTCAACATTATAGATGATACAGCAGTTCGAACAGTAAAATTCATGACAATTGTACTTTAACCTCGAAGTGTTAAAAGCGCGAAAAATATTTTAATTAAAGTTTTGGTCTCTACTATTTCAATTTTTGGAACACAATTTGAAATCTCGTGAAAAACTCTATTAAAAAAAGACAACTCGATGTTAAGCGCCTTCATTTTTAAACCCTTTCTTTACCCATTATTTTAATTTTAATAT